CACCAGAAAGTTAATGCTATCTAGGTATCTAGTGTTGTTAATATTAGTACCAAGCTCTCGTCGACGTCTGTGGCCTGGGAATTGCGAACACGCTTCGTAATGCCGGGTTCGATCCCAGCTGCGGACGATTTGTCTTGCGTTGTTTTCGACAGTGGTACCGAGCGCTGACCGTTCAGTAACAATGGCAAACTACTGAACGTAAAATATGTCTAGAAAAACCAAAACAGCCAATATGCTGGGGCTGGTTCTGCAACGTCCAAAATGATACGTAACTGATTTTTTTTAAAACCGAAGCTTTCTCAATCTCAATCTCTCTCTCTCTCTCTCTCTCTCTCTCTCTCTCTCTCTCTCTCTCTCTCTCTCTCTGATACACATTTAGCTGGGCCTAACTGCCATTTGGTGCCCCCCCCCTCCCACATACCGTTCCAATAGCTTTTATCTAGTCATCCAGTGCCATGTGGTGTTTCCCCCTCAAACACACGCAAGCACACACACACACACACAAACACACACACAGTCCTTCTCGCATTTATAGAAGTGCCATTTTGTTTACTTTGCGGAATTGAGGTGATGGAAAAATGGGGGAGGGGGGGGGTGTAGTAATCTTTTTAAAAGTAAGTAAAGAACTTTTTTTTTCAGGGCTGAGCCTAAATTTCATAGACTTATTGCACTTGGTGAGTCAACATCACGCCTCCCGCCTTTACTTTCCAAGACTGCACCTGGTACCCACTCAAGACTGGGTTGACCTTGGAACCAAAGTATTAGGTAACCTTTTTAGCAAACACAAATTTACCCTCGGAAATTCAATTGGTTGCTGTTTCCGCTTCCTGTTTTGTTTCACTTTCGGTTTCATTAAATATGTTTGATATCGATGTCTGGAGGTGAAATCAGTTCAGCCCGCTGTTTTTTCCTTCTTCCCCTGTAGTCTGTGTCTGGTTATATAATTGTATGGCTAAACATATGTGCATTCATACACAGAATCTTTCCGTTGTTGAAAATCTCCAGTGACAATAAATTGTGTTGACTTTTAAAATAATATTTATATGTGTTGTGTTGTTTGCACCTTTCCGTCTTTCTAGACGACAGTGAGTCGTGACAGTGTTTTACTGCGACTACTACTATTAGTATTATATAATAATTATTTGATAGGGCAATGAGGAGGCATAGAACTCACAGACATTGGCGAGCGTGACTAGCAAGACCCACCCTCGTTAAGAAAAGTCTTCCATAAGTATAGTTTAGCACCCAGTTTCAGTGTGCCTGTATGTGTGTATATATGACATGTATGTATATATATTCCTGAAGTCTGGGGTGGCTCCAAAGACCAACATCCAAGTACTGCAAAGAATCCAGTTAATAAAGTCTTGGTAACTAACCTGTCATCAGAACAACAATTTGATGTTTTATTGTCCTCTGAAAAGACAGAAGTAATGTCAATAGGAAAAAAGAGGACAGATCTAAACATAGCAATAGAATACAAAGGCATTAAACAGGCATCTGAGTTTAAATATCTGGGAACTACATTTACCGCAGATGGGAAATTGGATAAAGAAATTAACATTAGATGCAGTAAAGCAAACCAAGTATTGGGACAGCTAGCCCCCCTCTTACAGCATAAGACAATCCCAATCAGCACAAAGAGACATCTTATTCAAAGCATATTTATTCCAACTCTGTGCTACTCACAACAATTCATAAAAGAAAATTAGTAACCACGGAAATGAGATGTCTGAAAAGGGCTGTAGGAGTGACCATAAGAGATAAGATCAGGAATGAGATCATAAAAGAACAAGTCGGCACAGAACCAATTCTGGATTACATACAAAAACAGCAAGTGAAATGGTTTGCCCACTTAGAGAGAATGCCTTGTGACACCATACCATACAAAGCATACATGGAAAGAGAAGAAGGACGTAGAGCACGGGGTAGACCAAGAACAAGATGGAAGGATAACATCAGAGAAACTCTACAACAGCACAATGTGCCTATGGTTGAGGCAGCCAGAAGAGCTAGAAACAGAACCTTTTATCTCCCTCGACACCCACAGCGGTAAAAGAGGAAGTGAAGAAGAAGAAGAAGAAGATTGTCCTGCTATGGGGACGGTGTCTAAAGAAGATCTGAATAACTAGAAAATTTAGGGTTTTACTGAGTCCCAGGGGGTTTAGCTTCAAAGGCCCTAGGGGTGGCAGTGCAATTTTGAAATGTCACAAGTATAGGACATTGAAACAGACCATACTAATTCAGTTGCTACGCAAACACACACATAATAAGTGACATATTATACATAAAAGTGACCAAAGATTGTTGAGGAATAATATTAGATTAGAAGACTGTTAATAGAAATAAATTGTGTTAGTAGTTAATTATTATTAAATAAACAGATGGTATGTTCAGAGAAATTAATAAAAACAAATATTAGTTTTTCCACTTACCACCAGGGCACTCATTGAAAACTCAATAAAATATATCCAAAATGAATCACAAATGGACATCAGCCACTAAATAATGTAAAAATATATATAAACACAAATCTATCCATTAAATCTTGTTGCAGAAAACTTTTTAGAACATCAAACAGCATTTTTTTTTTTGGGGTAAACAAAAAAATGTCTTCTGAAAACAATTAGTATTTTCAAAAAAAAAAATTACCTTGATATAACACTTAATTTGCCCATAATTTAAAGCTTATGCTCGGAAATTATAAGGAATCACACTAGACCTTGCTGACACTGAAGAATATTGCCTTTTTCACTAATATTTATTCTTTTTTTAACAGCTTTGTTATCGTTGTATACTTTGCTTGAGGTATATTACAAAGCTATCCCTCATCAAAGTTTGACTTTACCAATGACTGAAACAATTCTACTTTGAAACTGTCTTTGTCTAGCTTCAGATAAATCTGATAAATGCGTGTTTTATTTAAATATGAGGCTTCTAAAGTCATAAATCTTGTTTGCATGCATGAAGTGCCCGGAGGCCATATTGTTTTCACACACACACAGACACTTAGTAACGTGGTAAAACTCACAAACGTGCTACATTTTATGCTTTTAACCACATTTCTGAAAAAGCCTAATGGTCAACACATGTGACATCAAACACAAAGAACAGGAAATGCAATTCAAAACTGCCATTTTCTGTTGTTATACTGGCCTCGGAAAAGATAGAGTGATGGCATTAAGAACAGCCTTACAGAAATGAACATCAGTCTTGATAGTGCTCTTGACAGAGCTCATCAACAAATGTTACATCTCCCCCAAACACTTTGATGAGGTACTAGATGGAAGAGAAGAAGAAGAAGATACTGGCCTGTGGTAAATTAGAAACCAGTACGCACCACGCACCAGTTGGTCAGCTTAGTAGTAACCGATTGGGGCAGGATACTTTCCTTAGGACTCAAAACATTAAAAAGATTGGACACAGTGGTGGATCGGTTGAAAAAATGTCATGAAAAATTGTGAGAGTCAGATGGTTGTGTGTTAATATTGATGATACTGATGATGCCACACCCACCACATCAAGGATGATAGTTGGAAAGTATAGTTTTAATTGTGGAATATAAGGAGAAGCCATCACATTATTTTTTAAAGAGTATTTTCAGAAACAGTCATTGCAGCAGTGACCAGAAGAGATAAGATCAGGAATGAGATCATAAGAGATAAGATCAGGAATGAGATCATAAGAGATAAGATCAGGAATGAGATCATAAGAGATAAGATCAGGAATGAGATCATAAGAGATAAGATCAGGAATGAAATCATAAGAGATAAGATCAGGAATGAGATCATAAGAGATAAGATCAGGAATGAAATCATAAGAGATAAGATCAGGAATGAAATCATAAGAGATAAGATCAGGAATGAGATCATAAGAGATAAGATCAGGAATGAGATCATATAAGAGATAAGATTAGGAATGAGATCATAAGAGATAAGATCAGGAATGAGATCATAAGAAAAAAGTCGGTCACAGAACCAATGCTAAATTACATACAAAGACAGCAAGTGAAATGGTTTGCCCACTTAGAGAGAATGCCTTGTGACACCATACCATACAAAGCATACATGGAAAGAGAAGAAGGATGTAGAGCACTAGGTAGACCAAGAACAAGATGGAAGGATAACATCAGAGAAACTATACAACAGCACGATGTGCCTATGGTCGAGGCGGCCAGAAGAGCTAGAGACAGAACCTTATATCTCCCTCGACACCCACAGCAGTAGAAGAGGAAGTGAAGAAGAAGAAGAAGAAGATTAATTCAGGAATGAAATCATAAGAAAAAAGTCGGTCACAGAACCAATGCTGAATTGCATACAAAGGCAGCTACTCGTTTTTCTCATTTGAAGAAAATGTCCTGTGATGATATATCCAACAAGGCATTCACCAAAAGACAAAAGGAATGTAGAGCACTAGATAGACCAAGAACAAGATGGAATGATAACATCAGGAAAACTCTTCAACAATACTATGTGTCAGTGGTTGAGGCAGCCAGAAGTGCAAGAAGCGTTTGATCTATTATCTGAGCACAGATTATGTGCCCCCTTAGAAGATAAAACATGTTAGAAGTAGCGCACATTTTCCCTAGTTTGTTACAACTACTACAGCTTACTGTGGTTAGAAATGTGCACATTCAAGTGCTTGTATTGTTTATTTTGATGCTATTGCTAATTTTTAATATTACTTGGTGTGTGAATGAAATGATTTAAGAACAGAGGGAGACCTCGAAGAGCAGAATGTTAGACGGGCCTGCGTGCCCAATTCTTATCCCTTTAAAAATAAAGTTTGTTTGCTCGTTCATTTGTTCGACACCTGAAATGGTAAAATAAGTGAAGAAGAAGAACCACTTCTCTGCTGTCTTTGGATGTTCCATCATCTTATCAAATCCCATGGTTTCTTCAGAGGCAAATGTTTTATTTTTCTAGTGTTTGGTTTCCAGTTTGATAAAATGATTGAAGTAATTTCAAGCAGACATTAAAACTTGAAAATATAAACTATCAAGCATGCGTGTGTTAAGGACATTCAAGGACAGACCTTTGGCCTGCATTCATTGTTGTCAGAGAACACTGCAGAGCTTGTTGCAAGCCAGAGGTCATCCCAGAGGAGCAGTTTCTGAAGTGTTTAGTTCAGGAAGTAGATTACAAGATCCTCTATGTAGGGGTATAAGTTCGAGACCCCAAGATGTGGTTATGAATGTGTTTGATAGGAAAGCAAAGAGACTACATCGAGAGCGGACAGCTTTAGGCTTCAATGGAGAGGAGGCTGCAGTTTATGAGTATATCAAGGAAGAGGTAAACAAATTAAATATTATAGTTTATTAATATATTATAAAAATGTAAAGCCAGGAGATGTGAACCAGCCTCCTTGCACACGGTTATATACCATAAGTGCTCTGCCACCAGTACGAACGGCTGATAAGAAACTGTCCGCCTGTGTCGCTGTCCACACGTAACTGTAGCTAAAGCGACGTTTCTCCATTTACCCCAGAGTGTCAGTCTGCTACCTATTTCCTAGAGGCTGGGTGAACCCCAGGAACCGCCCAGTTTCGAACACTGAACGTGTCTGCATTGAGTCGCAGCTGGATTTGAAAGTGAGCCTCCTATTGACTGCACTAACGCGGCTCCTAAATATATTATAAAGTAAGCAAAGGTCCCTATGTGGGATCCAATGCCATTTTTTTAAGGCCAAACAACTTAGTCTTTGTCAAAGTTTCAGCTTCCCTGAAATCGGGTTTCCCCATACTTGCTCTGTTTCTGTGCCAGTGAAAATCAAATGAAATGCCCCTCACTGACCTATTTGAAAAACTGGTGAACAAACAGTTAACCTCTGCACAATCCAGAAATATGCACATGCAGTAAATGCATATAGCAGATTCTTGAGGCACCAAAGCTGCCGCCACCAGAAATGCAGTTTGTCTTTAATGGAAGTAGTCGGGCACGATAAGTTGGCTATACACACATAGAATGATTACATAAGGTATTTCACCAGCTCACACGTAAACTGGCTGCCGGCCATATTGGAAACCACGACACAAAAGCTGCACAAATGAAAGGCCTTCCACCAAAAAACACAGCTCACAGGGCTGCACCAAGCACTAAACTCAGTAGCTCAGGCTACTTCTTGGTCTTTCCAGAGATAATATAATTTTCTTACATTTTTATTTCACAAACTTGAAAAGGTGAATTTTTAATTTGACTACTTCTGCCCCAAAGGGTCTCTGTTAATCTTTTTTCAGACCTGAGTATTTATTGCATCTAAGCTCAGCTCAGCTTTGTGAGGTAGAAAGAGCTAAAGTAACACCTGCTTGGGACAAAAGAGTCTGTAAAAAAAAAAAGTTACTTGCTGGTCCCTTTCAGGACTTTGCTGAACCAACCCCCGTCATTTTTTTTTACTTTCTGTGATTTCATTAGACAAGTTGACATTCAGTAGTTGTTAAAGCTTTCTGAAAAGTCACTGCTGTCGATACTCCTGTTGAAACCAATGCTCCCTGTGTGGGTTCCGGGGCCCTATTAAAGGGGGAAATAAAGAATAGACTTACTGCCTGCCCAAAATCATGTTGTAAGAGTCGACTAATTCGGAGCTTCCTCTGAAGTTGGAGTGCATCTGCCTGAGAGGCAAGGAACCAGCAGTCTGCATACTAATGAGTCAAATCTTTAAAACGGATGTGCACATAACACTCAAGTTCTGGAACAGGACTGCAGTCCAAAAGTGGATGAAGTTTGTTGTTTATTTGTTTTAGTATCCAGAAGCCATGAGTTGTTAACCCTTAGGCTCGGTATTATGGATATCGCAACCTTTCGGCCTTGATTCCATTGTAAATACCGTAAATCTGGGAGAAATGTGGCTTTTCTGCCTACTGCCGTGAGTGAACCCGGACCACAAGGAGTTCGTCACCCGGTCACAGCGCAATCCGGTTTAGCCAACTACGCTAGAGAGCCGGGCAAAGTGGATGAAGAACCAAAACTTTCCGCCAGAGTTTACAGCTGGTGAACGTGAAGAAGAAGAAGAAGAAGAAACCAATGTAAGGTGGCCTGCTGCCAAATCTACCACTTCTGTGATAGAACCCGACACCACAGAATTATCAAGTGCCTAATCAACAATGTCTACAAAAGACTGAGTTTCGAGTTGGTTGATATCCTATGCTCCACTGGGAGTTAAGAAGAAGAAGAAGCATATATGATGTAAGAGGCAAATGAGGAGGGTTGGTCATTAGACTTAGTGTTCCAGTCCTGTAGATAACATAGCCACAAAATCCAAACAAACATTAACATAGTCTACAAATAGATATGGGTGAGTTGGCCCAGACCTTTGCTGCAACAGACGGGACCTCGGAAGATACCTCGGCAGAAGAAGAAAGAAAATAACAATTATTATACTTCCTTCCTGTTGCAGGGGCCCCAATTTTTAGGGAGAACACTGCCTTCCTAACAGCCTGTTGTAAGACTAACTGGAGGTTTCATTTAGAGTCAGAATGCATCTGCCTGAGGCAAGGAACCAAACCAATAGTCTGCGTACACGTAAGTCAAGTCTGTAAAACAGATTTGCACACAAAACTCAAGTAATTGAATAAGACTAAAGTAGATGAACAACCAGAGTTTACAGCAGGTGAACATGAAGAAGAAGGAGATTAGACTTCCATTTCCAGTAATGAGAATAAATATAGCACCTAATGACAGTCTGGCACCTTCTTGAATACTCGCACCCCCCCCTGGATTTGACTGAGAATAATGGAGACATGAAATTATTATTATTGTTGTAGTTTTGTGAAGACATGAACACATTTTTTGTTCACAGTTTGGCTATCGTTTGTCAGACCGGATTTGTGATATCAAAAGGTGAGTTAGAGTGAAAGTATGCCAAAGTGAAGTGACAGCTTGAAAATAGTGAGTGTGACAATTTGACCAGATAAAGTGACAGCTTGAAAATAGTGAGTGTGACAATTTGACCGATAAGTTAACAGTTTGACCAGATGAAGTGACAGCTTAATCAGAGGATGAGGCAGTGTGACCAGATAATGGGACAGTTTGATAATGGTGACAATCTGACCACATGATATGACAGTTTGACATTATGAATGGTGACAATTTGAACACATGATTTGACACTTTGACTGATAATTGTGACTATTTGACCACATGATATGCCAGTTTGACTGATAATGGTGACAATTTGAACACAATGATATGCCAGTTTGACTGATAATGGTGACAATTTGAACACATGATATGCCAGTTTGACTGATAATGGTGACAATTTGAACACATGATATGCCAGTTTGACTGATAATGGTGACAATTTCACCACATGATGTTACAGTTTTAATGATAAGGTGACAGTCAGCTTAATCAGAAGGTGAGACAATTTCACCTGATGAAGTGACAATATGAGCAGAAGGGCTGACAGTTTGAACATATTATTGAATCAGTTTTATGAAGTGGAGTGTGTAGACGGGGTAACAGTTTGATTAGTCTTAATTCCTATGTTTATGTAAATGGTTGTGTTAAATGCAAGCCAAATTTGTACACTAATTAGTAGGTAGATTGATTAGAAGTTTAGTTTAACATCATAAATAGTCACTGATGAAATTTGTGAATCAGTGTTTAATCAAATTTATGCATGTCATTCACTTAATGAATGAGTAATGGGGCAAATATCTCCCCTGTTGACACACAAGCAGATACCTCGGAGTACTAAAGTGATTCTTATCAAAACTATTTTTTGGCCAACACTATGCTCTTAATGCCAAACGTGGACACTTACATCCTCCAATGAACGTAAATTTGTGACAGCAGAGATGAAATGCCTTAGAAGAGCTGCAGGAGTTTCAAGGAAAGACAGAATACGAAATCATGAAATCAGATGAATGCTAGGAATAAAGCCAGCCTTACAGGTCATCAAAGAACAACAAATGAAGTGGTTTGGACACCTAACAGGAATGCCCTGGTACTATCTGCCACAGCGAGCTATACTAAAACGTTACAACGGGTATAGAGCGAGTGGAAGACCTCGGAAAATATGGAGTGATGGCATTAAGAACAGCCTTACAGAAATAAACATCAGTCTTAAAAGTGCTCTTGACAAAGCTCATCAACGAACATTACATCTCCCCCTGACACTTCAATGAGGTACAAGGTGGGAGAGAAGAAGATTCACTTAATGAACTGAGAACTTAACTTAAGATATCACTATTTCAGAAAATTTGAGGTGGCTGTAGACTTGGGATGTGGGCGGGGCCATGTAACAAAGAACTTGTACAGCGACATGGTTGGGAGTGTCTACCAGTGTGAACTTTCTCCGGCCCTACTGGTCAGTGGTTTGATGTTGTATTTTTGTCCGTGCGCCAATAGGCCAGGTAATTTTAGATCATTTGTAGCTGGTGATTCTGCCAGATCTGTCTTTTTCTTCTTCTTTGCCTTCACTGACTGTAAACTTTGGCAGAAAATTGTGGTTGTTTGTTTACTTCTGGACTTTAGTCTTGTTTCAGATCTTGAGTTTTGACTGCACATCAGTTTTATACAGGCTTATTTGTAAGCAGACTATTGGTTCCTCGCCTCTCTGGCAGATGCACTGTGACTTCGAAGGAGATCTTTCTGTTATTGAACATTTGAATTTTAAGCATAAAATAACTGAATAGTTAACCTGTATCTCTAGACATTGTCAACTGGAAAACTTAACCTTCTTTCTGCAGTTCAGCAAGAACATTATTGTGATTAAAATCTTGTCTGCTAGTGTGGTCTAATAAAATTAAAAAGGATGAAAGTAAAACAAAATTCATCAGGCCACTATGACGTTTTAAAAGTAAAGGACCCTTTTCCACGCCGTTCAGGCAAATTGGCTATTTAGGGCCTATATTTATAGACCAGCGGCACAAGATGGGTGATGTGGTCAGCATCATGCTGGCCACCTTTACTTCCCAAGACTGCAACTGGTACCCACTCAACCTGGGAGCCAACATCATTTTTGAAAATCCATGCAGCCAGCAGTGGGTTTCAACTATGGTACGTTGGAATTACGAGTCGGAAAGCAACGTCTAAGCCACTTTTTTCTTCTTTTTTAATCTGAGTTTAGAATGGAGGCGACGGCATTGGTAGGTGTGACAAGAGAAATGACACGTTGCCGCCTTGCCAGTTTCCGGAAAATAATGCGCTGACATCGTCGGAGCTGTTTGAGGCACCAGAAAGGCGGCAGCTATGCAGTGCGCTCTTGAAGTCACGGGGATCAACACAGATCCGTGAAAACTGAAGGCGCCTTCACAGCCCTCTCCTTAGAAACATTAGCTCCCCCAAGACCTTCCAATCCACAGGCGAGCGTCTAGCCACTACGCCACGGCGACTTCCCATGACATTTTAACACGGCCTAAATAAATACCTCATGTTCTTTGTCTCAGAGATGAGCGTGGCACATATTTTATCACCCTGCTTTTATTTTTTGACTTCATATCCATAATATGCATATCATTACATGAATATAACATGCTTCATTGATGAAATACAACTGCTGTGAGAAAGATGGAAGTTTGGAAGGGCCGAATGTAAGACAGGCCTCTCAGTTTTTAAAGTTTGTTATTCTTCTTCTTGGTATTCTTATGGCAAACTATTGAATGTAAAATTACCTTTGTAGATAAAAATCACAATTGATATGGGAAAGATAAGTGTCTGGAAGGGCCAACTGTAAGACGGGCCAGTGAGCCCAATTTGTGGCCCTTGAAAAAATACAGTTCTATTCCTTTGTTCTGTTGTTCTATATTTTTCCCCTTATCCAAAAATGTCAGGCATTTCATTCACCACCTTAGAATCATGGGGAGTTTAGAATTTTCAGCGTTCTTCTATAGATACACATTATTTTCCCAGAAGAATTTTTGTTGTTTGTTTTTGTTTTAAAAGTCACTGAATTTTGTTAGCAGTTGAAAGATTTTGAGAAATGGTCAACCAGATGATTAAAGTATTTGGCTCTCATGCGGAAGACCCATGTTTGATCCTCGGTAAGGGATGGTGATTGTTTTTTCTGTCGGGAGAAAGAGGGAAGGGGGGGGGGGGGGGAGGGCAGATTAAAAAATCCTAACCTGTACTTTGTGGTGGCTGCACTAGCCATTCTGCCCTCTAGCCATTCTGCCCTCTAGCCATTCTGTCCTCTAGCCATTCTGCCCTCTAGCCATTCTGTCCTCTAGCCATTCTGTCCTCTAGCCATTCTGTCCTCTAGCCATTCTGTCCTCTAGCCATTCTGTCTAGCCATTCTGCCCTCTAGCCATTCTGCCCTCTAGCCATTCTGCCCTCTAGCCATTCTGCCCTCTAGCCATGCTGTCCTCTAGCCATTCTGTCCTCTAGCCATTCTGTCCTCTAGCCATTCTGTCCTCTAGCCATTCTGTCCTCTAGCCATTCTGCCCTCTAGCCATTCTGTCCTCTAGCCATTCTGCCCTATAGCCATTCTACCCTCTAGCCATTCTGCTCTCTAGCCATTCTATCCTATAGCCATTCTGCCCTCTAGCCATTCTGCTCTCTAGCCATTCTGCTCTCTAGCCATTATATCCTATAGCCATTCTACCCTCTAGCTGTTCTGCCCTCTAGCCATTCTATCCTCTAACCGTTCTGCCCTCTAGCCGTTTTGCCCTCTAGCCATTCTGCCCTCTAGCCACTCTGCTCTCTAGCCATTCTACCCTCTAGCCATTCTACCCTCTAGCCATTCTGCCCTCTAGCCATTCTGCCCTCTAGCCATTTTGCCCTATAGCCGTTCTGCCCTCTAGCCATTCTGTCCTCTAGCCATTCTGTCCTCTAGCCATTTTGCCTACGTACAAAGTTGTTTTGGATGAAGCCATTCTGCCCTTCAAGGACCATTCCGTCTAGACATTCTGTCCTCAGCCATTCTGTCCTCTAGAAGCAGTCTACGTAATTCTGCCCTCTAGCCATTCTGCAGTTATGTTATTGATGTTATCTACCAATCGGTATGACTAGCCATTCTGCCCTCTAGCCATTCTGTCTAGCCATTCTGCCCTCTAGCCATTCTGCCCTCTAGCCATGCTGTTTTCGAGCCATTCTTAGTCCTCTAGCCATTCTGTCCTCTAGCCAGCTGCCCTCTAGCCATTCTGTCCTCCAGCCATTTTGGATATAGCGAGTTCTGTCCTCTAGGTGACTGCCCACTAGCCGTTCACCCTATAGCCGTTCTGCCCTATAGCCGTTCTGCCCTCTAGCAGTTCTGCCCTCTAGCCGTTCTGCCCTCTAGCCATTCTGCCCTCTAGCCATTCTGCCCTAAATCAAATGGCTCACAATTCCACAGTCCTACAGCGCCTTGAAAGTGGTAAATGCTGACAGTGAAGAAGAATGTATTCTATATTTGTGATCATTTATGTATGTATGATTCAGATGATGAGAGGAGCTAAATTTGCTGGACTGGATTTCATCCATGGTATACTGGATTTCATCCGTGATATTGAAGTGATTGCATGGGAAAAAGGGAATGAAGGTAATACTGCGAGGATGATGAAAGAGTGAAATATGATTTAGAAATTTTATTTATTTAACAGAGACAAGCAGAAAAATCGCCTGAAGTTCCTACATACAAAGTTGTTGTGGATGAAGAGTTTCTGCCATTCAAGGACAATTCAGTTGACCTCGTAATCAGCAACTTAAGGTAAGAAGCAGAATACTTAACATGTTATACGTGCAGTTATGTTATGTGATGTTATTACAATCAGTATGACTGCACATTGGGCACTCCCCTGCGTGTTCAGTCCTCTGTTGCAGCAACCACACCCAGGTGTTCCCATGAGAGGTTGGTTATAATGTCTCCTATCTCGGCCTCGAAGGCGGCATAGACAACTCTTCACGATGCTTTCCTCCCATGTCACGCAATCGTGTTAGTGTCAGGAATTTGTCATTATCCACTAGCCGAGTCTGTACAGCATTGACAATATCTGCTCTGTCCATGCTTCTTCCCACGTACGTTGGTGCATTGCTTGCCAGTTGGTCTGCTTGCTTATTGCCCCCAACGCATAACCAGGTGTGCAGTATCCATGTGTGGGTTCGAGGATCCCACTTTGGAGGGGGGGGGGGGGAATATACCCATGCTGGCCTACCAAGCTTGTCCTAAAAGGCCACAAGGTGCAGATATCACAGATTAGCTCTAAACCACAACACACCATGCCAGCTGCCACCCTTTTAAGGGTTAATGTAGAAGTCGAAGATATGTACAATAAAGCAATGGTGATGGAGGGCTCCCAGCCTCTGAAAGTACCTTTCCCTGTTTCTAGTTTCATATTTGTCAATAACATATACATAACATAACCCTTGACCCATTAGTCTCATGGAGGTGTATTGATGGAAGTACTAGCACATAAAACCCGCCATCTGTCTCTGTCTTCTGCTTGATGAATAGGTGTATGATAATTAAGTCCTGTCCATTTCTTGATGTTGTAATTCCAGGTTCTTCTTTGCCCTCTTCTTCAACCATCTCAATGTTCCTTGAAGTACAGTCTTTGCAATCGAATCATGTCTCACCATGTGCCCAAACCAAGCTGTCCAAACCAAGACTGAGATATTTTAAAAAATCTATTTGCAAAGAATATTTATTAATTATTCCAGGAACTTATGAAATTCTACTTTTTACTAGTGTTTTTTTTTTTTTCAATTTGTGTTTGAGAATGGGGTGTAAGCTGAGTTGAGTTGATTCAAGAACTGACATCACAGCACTCGGGGCATTCCCATAAGCACTGCATGCCAATCTTCAGCAGCCAGCGCAGAGTTCCAATACCATGGTGCCAGTAGCAGTCTTATTATAAGCCTTTCACTGAGCGTCGAGTATAGGCCAGATCTCCTCCTCCCTCCCCGCTGCATCACTTTCACCAGGCTGCAGCAATGATCTATTTGCTACTCTGAATTGAACACATGCTGCTGTAAGGCCTTAACCACGTCTGCCTTATCATGTATCAGTATTCTACTAAATTGTGCAGAGCCAGCCAGTCTGTCCGCCAGTTCATTTCCCAACACACTAGAAATCACAAATTGATAGTCAGTAGTCAGTAAATCACACATTGATATGTAAACAAATCACAGATTGATAGTCAGTAGTCAGTAGATCACATATTGATATGTAAACAAATCACAGATTGATAGTCAGTAGTCATAGTCAGTAAATCACACATTGATATGTAAACAAATCACAGATTGATAGTCAGTAGTCATAGTCAGTAGATCACACATTGATATGTAAACAAATCACAGATTGATAGTCAGTAGTCAGTAGATCACACATTGATATGTAAACAAATCACAGATTGATAGTCAGTAGTCAGTAGATCACACATTGATATGTAAACAAATCACAGATTGACAGCGGATAGTGTTAGATATATACACAGCAATCAGTAAGTCACAGATTAACTGACAGCAGTCAGTAAATCACAAATGATGATTTATTTATTTCTGGGAGCATCATCACTGCACTGAAACAATCCCTGAGTTCTCTGGCTGTTGGATTGGGAAGCCAGCACACACAGGCTTCATTGCGATGAACAAAGGTCAGGTTGGTTTAGACTTGTAGCTAACCAACTTACAATAGGCATCATCAACATTTGATTTCTGCTGAGAGCGACTGAGAATTTCTGGATCTTGACTTGTTCCAAGTGTAATATCAACATATTTTTCATTATAATCATGGCTTTTTTTTTTCTTGTTTGCGATGGTACGCAGTACCAGAACCTTTTTAAAGGCAAATCCTCCCCCCCCCACATTACTGTAATAGATGCTTTGTGGTAAGTAAGTAAAAAAAAGTGAAGGACCCTTTTCCACGCCTTTAGGCGTATAGGGCAAATAGGGCTAGGCCTATTTTTTTTAGACCAGTTGCCACAATATGGGTGATGTGACAAGCCGCCTTTACTTCCCCCTGAAACTGCACCTGTACCCACTCAAGGCTGGGTCGACCTGGGAGTCAAGATCATTTTTGAAAAATGTCCGCCTCCACCAGGGAGCGAACCCAAAAACTTCCGATCCGCCGTCTAGCGTCTAGCCGCTACATCTGTGGAAAATACAGCACCTTTTATTAGGCAGTTTATGGTGAGCACCGGCACCTTTTTTCTTCTAAAAGAACTGTCCTAATTAAAATCATAATCTCCGTAGCAGGTACAAGTGTTTATGTATTCCTGCGTTGTTATGGTTTTACTTCATTTTGTTCTTCAATTCCTTACAGCCTGCACTGGGTCAATGACCTGCCAGGATGCTTGAGACAGGTATGTGGTCTCTGTCTTGTCTTCATTGATTGTCCTAACTTAACTGAAGTGACCTCAGCCGTTTTTTCATTTTCTAGGGGGGTCGGGTTGAAGGGGACATTAAGCCTTGTTTAAGTACATAATAATTATTATTATGTGCTGAATAGCAAATATAATAATATATTTAAAATAATATGAAATATATTAATGAAATACTGTTGATGTTTAGAGGTTTAACTAGGTCTGCTAGCAGTTTGACTAGGTCTGCTAACAGATTGACTAGGTCTGCTAACAGATTGTCTAGGTCTGCTTGCAGATTGTCTAGGTCTGCTAACAGATTGACTAGGTCTGCTAGCAGTTTGACTAGGTCCGCTAGCAGTTTTTCTAGGGGGTCGGGGCTCCCTAAGAATTATGGGGCAGGGGTGTGTGTAACAGCTCAATCCCCCCCTCCCAAGAATTAAGGGGGGGGGGCATACGGTGCCTGAACCCCCCCCCCCCTCCCCCACATCTCCAGGTTCCTGCGGCTGTGCTTGTTTGTACAGTTGCTAAAGCTCAGATGTCAATGGTTTGACATCCGTAGCATACACCAGATAGAGGACTGTCAATTTGATGACAACATGCACCAGACACTTCTTGTTCTTCATTTCCTCATTTACCGCTGTGGGTGTCGAGGGAGATCTAAGGTTCTGCTTCTTGCTCTTCTGACTGCCTTGACCATAGACACATCATGCTGTTGTAGAGTTTCTCTGATGTTATTTTTCCATCTTGATCTTGGTCTGTCATATATGTGTGTGTGTATATGTATGAATGTATGTATGTATGTATGTATGTATGTATGTATGTATGTATGTATGTATGTATGTATGTATGTATGTATGTATGTATGTGTGTGTGTGTGCGTGCGTGCGTGTGTCTGTCTCTCTCTCTGTGTGTCTCTGTGTGTGTGTGTGTGTGTGCGCGTGTCTGTCTGTCTGTCTGTCTGTCTGTGTCTCTGTGTGTCTGTGTATATGTGTGTGTGTGTGTGTGTGTGCGCGTGTCTGTCTGTCTGTCTGTCTGTCTGTCTGTCTGTCTGTCTGTCTGTCTGTCTGTCTGTCTCTATGTGTGTCTGTGTATATGTGTGTGCGCGTGCGTGCGTGTGTGCATCTATGTATGTATGTATCTATGTATGTGTGTGTGTGTATGTATTTATCTATGTATGTGTGTATGTATGTATGTATGTATGTATGTGTGTGTATGTATTATGTATGTATGTATGTGTGTGTGTGTGTATGTATTTATCTATGTATGTGTGTGTGTGTATGTATGTATGTATGTATGTATGTATGTATGTGTATGTATTATGTATGTATGTATGTATGTGTGTGTGTATGTATGTATGTATGTATGTATGTATGTATGTATGTATGTATGTATGTATGTATGTATGTATGTATGTATGTATGTATGTATGTATGTATGTATGTATGTATGTAATGTATGTAATGTATGTATGTATGTATGTATGTATGTATGTATGTATGTATGTATGTATGTGTATTTGTGTGTATGTGTATATGTGTGTATATGTGTGTGTATATGTGTGTGTATGTATATGTATGTGTGTGTATGTATGTATATATGTGTGTGTGTATGTATGTGTGTGTGTATGTGTGTGTATGTATGTGTGTATGTATGTGTGTGTGTGTGTGCATACATGTATGCGGGTGTATTTATGCATGTGAGTGTATATGTGTGGTTGTGGGCGTATGTGGGTGTCTGTATACATGATTGTATGTGTGTGTATGCATGCATGCATGTGTAGGTGTGTGTGTATGGAATGTGTGTGTGAATGTATGTATGTGTGTGTGTTTTATGTTTGTGCATATAAGTCCATGTATGTATGTGTGTGTGTTTTATGTTTGTGTATGTATGTAGATGTGTGTATGTATGTATTACGTATGTCTGGATATGAGTGTGCATGTATGAGAATGTAAGAGTATGTATACGTGTGTTTGTTTGAGTGTGTAAAATTGTGTACACATGATGTGTGTATGCATTATTCCATAATGTATATTTCTTTATTATATCCATAACATGCATTATTGATAACATGCATTGGTACTCTGAAAAATGAGTGCTTAAGAAGGGCCGAATGTCAGACGGGCCTGTGTGCCCAATTTGTAACTGTAATTTAGAATTGGTTCTGTGCCAGCTTTATCTCGTATGACCTCATTTCTGATTTGATCTCTTCTGGTCACTCCTGCAGCCCTTCTCAGACACCTCATTTTTTTTGTTGTTACTGATTTTCTTTTCTGGTTTGTTGTGTGTGACCACGTCTGTCACTGGTAGCATAGGGTTGGAATGAATATGCTTTGTATGAGATGTCTCTTTGTGCTGACTGGAATTGTTTTATGTTGTAAAATCCGAGCAAGCTGTCCCAGTCCTTGGTTTGCTTTGTGATGTTAATTTATTCATTCAGTTTCCAATCTTCAAGCAAACACTAAACTTTTTCTTTTTCATTTGCTTGAAATAAATTATCAATATCTGCAATGTTGTCTCTAGTTTGAACTTCACTGTCTTTTGTAATTCACTCAGCGACCCGTAAAGTTTGACTTGCACCGATGTTTCTCTTGGCCAAAAGTTTTGCCTTGATGTGTTGTGTTTGGCACAGTCTTGGAGGACATGATCTGTTGTCTCTGGTCCCAATCCACATGTGCACATGGCTGATTCGCAGATTTTAAATTTTGTGTCTGCAAAGTCAATTGTGTCCTGTTCTAAGGCGTAGAATAATAACTTGCTCTGGTCTGTCCATAAAATGGTAATCGTCTTGTGCCAGTTTTGGTGGCATTCTGATTGATTTCATCATTCTCTTCTTTTGCTGATAAGAGAAGGTATGTCAGGTATGTCAGGTTTTTCTTCATTCGCACCTTCTTAGCTAGTTTATCTGCTCTTTCATTTCTGGAAACTCCACAGTGGGATGGTATCCATTGCATAGTTACCTTACACAGACTGCCTAGTTTGGAGAGTAGTGTTCGTATGCCAGGTAGTTTTCCAGATTGGAGTGCCTGAAGCACCGCTCTTGCATCTGTCAGAAATACCACGGGTTGTGAAATAAGGTGTATATTTAACAGTTTTTCTGCTGCTATTTTACTGAACTAATTTTCTTGAACAGATCCTTCAGGCCCTCAAAAATGATGGTGTTCTCATTGGCAACATGTTTGGTGGCGACACACTCCATGAGCTCCGAGTTTCCTTGCAGCTGGCAGAGATAGAGAGAGAAGGGGTATGAGCTTGTTTGACATTATGAGGCCTTCTTGGTGATTATAAAATTGTCTGTAAGTCAGTAAATTAATCAACTCTTGGTCACTCGTGGACCACTTGAGGTGGCTTAAAAAAAATATGTAAATTGCCCACACTCATTTTCTAGTGGTTGTAGTAGTTGAGCCTCTACAAGTCTTGAGAAATTAAATATATTACTTGCATTCTTTTATTCCAGTATTTCTACAAATCCCTTCTAGTAACTATGTTGATTCTTAGAAGATTTGGTTATAAATTATCTGAATTAACTAATATCAGTTGATCAGTAACATATGATAATCAATTATGTATTCTCAACAAAAGTTTATGAAAACAGCAATTTATGATTCCTTACGAGGAGTTAAACATGGGTCATGCTGATAAACTATTCACTTTTTTCAATTCCAGCAGATTTGACAGCTTAACACACTTCTTACCTATCAAGACTATCTTACAGTGAGGGCCATGAAAAAGTCCAAATGGGCTGCCAACATATTTTGCCTTTTCACGTAACGGGTTAGGGTACCTAGTTTTTCTGTTCCAGTATTGCAGTCTGTAGGGTTAACACTTTAAGGGAAGGAAATTAATAGGTACAAATCTAGGAAACCACATTCAACTCATAAAACAGTTTGGCTGCATAATTTTAATCATCACCACCAAATATCAGTATTGTTTACATTGCCTGTCCACTTGTCATAACATTTGTATTTAATTGTGCTTGTCCACATTGTTTTTGAACTTTGTGCTGTCTTTTTTAGGAAAATAAGTTATTTCTTTAGTTAAGTTTCAAAATGTAGATAAAAATGGTCAGCAAACAAAATTATTTCACCTTTTTATTTTTCCAGCAAGGAGATGTTTATATTCGGCCAGCATCTAATCAAATTCAGTTTTTGACATCCTAGAGAGGAAGTTGTGTTAAACTAGACTGAACGTGATAGTCTAGTTCAAGTGTGACCTTCTAGGAAGTTTGAAAACACTATAACTTGTCCAGCAGACTGACAGCGGCTTACTTAATGCTCATAGAAAATTAAGAGATCTCACAAACCAACTAGAATGAAAGGGGCCTGATGCTGCGAGGCATTCCAGGAGTAGAGAAAAGAAGAAGAAGAAGGATTTTAAAACGAACTATGTTTTTTTGTTTTTGTTTATGTGTTTGGTTAGCTGTCAGATGGTTCACAGAACAGTTTCCCCGATTTTGGTGGGCCGTGGCTGCAAAATGATGGAGGAACTCTTTTCTAGGGATAGTAAAAGGGGACGTGACATAGGAATCAGTGAATCAATCAGTAACTGACATCATTACAATCAGGACATGCCTACATACTTCCATCAATGACAGACTGCATTTCTGGTGGCGGCTGTTGGCTTTGACATCTCTAGCAACTGTCATATGCATTTACAGCGTGCACATATTTCTGGATTATACCAGGACTAATTGTTTGTTCATCAGTTTTTCAAATGCGACAGTGAGGGATATTTCATTGGATTTCACTGGCATAGGGACTGACCAAGTATAAAGTGACCTGGGAGTGTATAGAGTGATATGGCATTAGAACTCTAATGATGTGGCATCAGAACTCGTATGATGTGGCATCAGAACTCGTATGATGTGGCATCAGAACTTGTATGATATGGCATTAGAACTCTAATGATATGGCATTAGAACTTTAATGATGTGGCATCAGAACTCGTATGATGTGGCATCAGAACTTGTATGATATGGCATCAGGACTCATATGATATGGCATTAGAATTAACATAAAAGGGTGTCAGGGGTAATTTAACTGGGCATCAGAGTTCGTATAACAGGAAATCAACATTTATTTCTTGTGGTTCAGAACACAGCAGTGGCAAGCTGTCAGATTAACAGCAGGTTAATGTTCTTGATTAGCATTTGTAACCTGATTTTCTATTTCAGGGGTTTGCTCCTCATGTGTCCCCATTTGCAACAGTCAATGACTTAGGGAACCTTCTCACTAGGGCTGGCTTCACTATGTTGACCATAGTACGTAAGTTATGATTATAGTGTATGAGTTTTGACCATAATATATAAGTTTTGACTATAGAATGTAAGCTATGATCACACATTATAAGATATGGTCATATCAAGTTTTGACCATAGAATGTAAGTTAATGACCATACATTGTGAGTTACGACCACAGCAAGTAATGACCATAGATTGTTAATTATGACCCTAGACTCTACATTGATACTAAGTGAGTTTCTGTACCTAGCTATTTTTACTGTTTGAATCTAGCACAAATTATGTCAGTATGCTATCAGGAAATTTAGAATGACCTCTTTTAGTCTCAGAATACCTCAAAGTAGACACCAGAAAACATATACACACACACACACATATATATATAAATAGGTTAGTTGCGTATCCTTTACAGGACGTTGCAGAACCAACCCCAGCAGCCCCTGGCTGTTGTGTGGTTTCTCTAGGCAAATTTACGTCCAGTAGTTTGCCATTGCTTTGTGGACGGTTGGACCCATGATACCACTGTCGAAACCAACACAAGGTGCATGGCCCGCAGCTGGAATCGAACCCGGCACTCCGGCATTACGAAGCGTTCGCATCAACTTAGCCACAGAGCCGACATATATATATATATATATACATACACACACAGAGGGGAATTTATGCTTTTGCAGAATTCACCAGCATTTAGTTATGTAACTTTTAATAATAATCCCTTCTTCACATTCTGTCACGTTAAGTTGAGTTGAGTCAAGAATTGACATCACAGCACTCCGGGCATTCCCATGCATGCTCCATCCTCACCTTCAGCAGCCAGTGCAGAGTTCCAATACTGATGGTACCCATCACAATCTGGTTATATGTCCGTCTTGCTTTTTCTCTGAGTGTAGTGAGCCGGCCAGACCCTCTGGTCACACCCAGGTGCCTCTTTCTCTCCAGGCCATAATAATCCTGTTTCTCTACTGATTTTGTTGTTTGTTCCTAAAGGACCTTAACCACATCTGCCTTGTCATACTCTGTCACCTTGTCACAGGCAACGTTAGGACTCTACTGTTAAAACTGTGAGATCTTGTCTGAGAATATTTTAAATTTATCCTATGACTATTTGATGTTTCTGAATATTGTCTCACTCCTCATGTTTAAAAGATCAGATGATAAGACCGATCCTTGTTTATCTCATCTTTATTGGTCTGAGTTCACTTTCTCCTTTACATCTGATAATATCCTTGTTTTCTAGTATGGATGTTATACATTTAAGAAATTGCAATGTTTGCACCCTTCCAGTCACAGGTGTTGTATTGTGGTACTGGGAGACATGGGAGTTTCAGCTCATGGCGATCGTGAGTTTTTTCCCCTCCCCTCCATAGCACAAAGTCTTGGCAGTATCGTAGAGATCGTATGTTGCCCGTGCAGCATGATTTCAGCCTGCCTTGTTTACTCCAAAGTAAAGGTATCATCAACATAGTTGAAACAAAGCATGCTGCAGAAACTGCCAGATAAGAAGGGCAGTGCTCTGTCTGCCTGCCTGACATACCAAGTGTTTAGGCCTGGTCTGCGTCTTCCATTTAAAATGACGAATAATAGTGTTGCTGTTTTTTGTTGTTGTTGTTGTTGTCATTTTTCTTAGATTGTTCTGTTCTCTTATCATTGACTGCTATTGTTTTGCACATTTCTAACTCAGGATACTATGTGTTTTTTGTTGTAGCAGCGTGTAATGTGGTTGTGCTATGTTGGGGCAGGATGATGATTGATAGTTTAGGCAGCCTCCACCACGTTGTTGTCGCAGTGTTGTGATCGCGACGGCCCACTCTCCGGGAAGACAGAATTTCGTCAACAGGGGACTGCAACTGACTAGAGAGCAAACTCGATAAAAGCTGTCTCCAGAAACAGAAAGTGTCAACTTTTTTTTGTTTTTTTTTGTGGGAAAGAATCGACACATACGGTTAGGCCTGGTCTTCTTCTTCTTCTTCACTTCCTCTTTTACTGCTGTGGGTGTCGAGGGAGATATAAGGTTCTGTTCTAGCTCTTCTGGCTGCCTCGACCATAGGCACATCGTGCTGTTGTAGAGTTTCTCTGATGTTATCCTTCCATCTTGTTCTTGGTCTACCCCGTGCTCTACGTCCTTCTTCTCTTTCCATGTATGCTTTGTATGGTATGGTGTCACAAGGCATTCTCTCTAAGTTGGCAAACCATTTCACTTGCTGTCTTTGTATGTAATCCAGAATTGGTTCTGTGCCGACTTGTTCTCTTATGATCTCATTCCTGATCTTATCTCTTATGGTCACTCCTACAGCCCTTCTCAGACATCTCATTTCCGTGGTTACTAATTTTCTTTTATGGTTTGTTGTGAGTGACCATGTCTGGCACTGGTAGCACAGAGTTGGAATAAATATGCTTTGAATAAGATGTCTCTTTGTGCTGATTGGGATTGTCTCATGCTGTTCTCATTTTGATTTCTGTAGCGGTAATACATCCATTGCCGGCTTGCTAGGCCTGTCGCAACTTCACCAGAGCCCTGTTGGCCATGACGTTTCGGGGTGACCCAGGGTGGCCTTCATGGCTACCGTAGCGGTCCTGTGGCACGAAGCCACACCATACTTCGCCCACACCTAGCAATCCCCTACTTTGTCCTGTTACCACCTCTCACGACCTTAATATTTAAGTTTTTAGGTTGCATTTCCTCTTTCTAGGATGAGGAAGAAGCTGCAAAGCACTGCAGAGTTTATATAGTTTGTGAATTCTAATATTCACACACCACTGCCCACACATGTGTGTGTGTGGTGTTCATGCACTGAGCTGATAACCTTGATTGCTGACGGGGTCTCCGTGATGAAGTGGTCAAGCTGTTTGCCTCACGCTCTGAAGGTTATGGGCTTCACTTCATGGTGGCGCCATTTGGTTCACGAGTGCAATTTTTATGGAGATTCCTGGTGATTGTCACCAGAGCTACAGAGGTCGTGCTCTGTGCGATGCTCTCAGCAGGCAGCTAGCTGTTCTGCAGGGAGAGACTGAGCCATATGGAATAAAACCTGGTGCAATGAAGTCGATCCTCTCACCTACATCTTTGCCTTGATTACTGCCGTTTTCAGCTTCAATTGATACAAATGATTTCTGCACAAGTGTTACTCTCAGAAAGAGCACACTTATAGTTTATCATTTGGTTTGTGTTGTTAACTGTAGATTAAGAAATTAGCTAGTGACATGATACCACAGAACTGTTGGTGCCTTATTTGATTAATCACATATGCAACATATGTTTTAACTGCTGCTTCCATCAATGAAGAACTCCATTTCTAGTGTCAGACTGTTTGTGCTGGCACTTCTAACAGCTGCATTATGCATGTAATGCCTATATATGCTATTAGATTTGCTGACATTGCAGTCTGCGTCGATTTTTCTATCAACATTTTCCACAAGGGACAGTGGTGAACATTCTGTGTGGTTTTCATTGGTACAGGACCGGAGAAACTATAGGGTGACCCGTTTGCTATGAAATTAAAATTTTGATTACTTGATTATCATATGAAATTTACTATAAAGTATATATATATAAATTCAGACTGCTGTTGATAACATCGGTATTGCAACTGTGCTGGCTGCTGAAGTTGGGGGAGAAGCACACATGGGAATGCCCTGAGGGCTGTTATGTCAATTTTTAACTCAACTCAATTGAAGTTTATTAAACATCTGTTTTCCCTTGTTTTTCAGGATATTGATGAACTAAAAGTGACTTACCCTTCCATGTTTCAACTGATGTATGACCTCAAAGGTCAGTTGCTTTTCTGGTTGCTGTTTCAAATTAATTTTCACAAATATTTGTTATTTTTAAAACTTGAACATTTTCAGAATACTATCAGAATGAAAGGAACTATTTTTTGTTTTTTCATATGCATGATCTTGATTGTTTTGTCTCTGTGTCAAGATATCATTATATCTAAACTGTACTGCCTTATGGCAGTGAATCCTGGAATGTGACTGAAACAGTGTGGCAGTGAATTTTGGAATGTGACTGAAACAGTGTGGCAGTGAGTCTTGGAATGTGAATCTTGGAATGTGACTGAAACAATGTGGCAGTGAATCTTGGAATGTGACTGAAACAATGTAGCAGTGAATCTTGGAATGTGACTGAAACAATGTGGCAGTGAATCTTGGAATGTGAATGAAACAATGTAGCAGTGAATCTTGGAATGTGACTGAAACAATGTGGCAGTGAATCTTGGAATGTGAATGAAACAATGTAGCAGTGAATCTTGGAATGTGAATCTTGGAATGTGAATGAAACAGTGTGGCAGTGAATCTTGGAATGTGACTGAAACAATGTGGGGATGAATCTTGGAATGTGAATCTTGGAATGTGAATCTTGGAATGTGAATGAAACAGTATGGCAGTGAGTCTTGGAATGTGACTGAAACAATGTAGCAGTGAATCTTGTAATGTGACTGAAACAATGTGGCAGTGAATCTTGTAATGTGACTGAAACAATGTAGCAGTGAATCTTGTAATGTGAATGAAACAATGTGGCAGTGAATCTTGTAATGTGAATGAAACAATGTAGCAGTGAATCTTGGAATGTGAATGAAACAATGTAGCAGTGAATCTTGTAATGTGACTGAAACAATGTAGCAGTGAATCTTGGAATGTGAATGAAACAGTATGGCAGTGAGTCTTGGAATGTGACTGAAACAATGTGGCAGTGAATCTTGTAATGTGACTGAAACAATATGGCAGTGAGTCTTGGAATGTGACTGAAACAATGTGGGGGTGAATCTTGTAATGTGACTGAAACAATGTGGCAGTGAATTTTGGAATGTGAATGAAACAATGTGGCAGTGAATCTTGTAATGTGACTGAAACAATGTGGCAGTGGAATGTGACTGAAACAATGTGGCAGTGGTATGTGACTGAAACAATGTGGCAGTGAGTCTTGGAATGTGACTGAAACAATGTGGCAGTGAATTTTGGAATGTGAATGAAACAATGAGGCAGTGAGTCTTGGAATGTGACTGAAACAATGTGGCAGTGGAATGTGACTGAAACAATGTGGCAGTGGAATGTGACTGAAACAATGTGGCAGTGAGTCTTGGAATGTGACTGAAACAGTGTGGCAGTGAGTCTTGGAATGTGACTGAAACAGTGTGGCAGTGAATCTTGTAATGTGACTGAAACAATGTGGCAGTGGAATGTGACTGAAACAATGTGGCAGTGAGTCTTGGAATGTGACTGAAACAGTGTGGCAGTGAATCTTGTAATGTGACTGAAACAATGTGGCAGTGGAATGTGACTGAAACAACGTGGCAGTGAGTCTTGGAATGTGACTGAAACAGTGTGGCAGTGAATCTTGTAATGTGAATGAAACAATGTGTGGAATGTGACTGAAACAATGTGGCAGTGAGTCTTGGAATGTGACTGAAACAATGTGGCAGTGAGTCTTGGAATGTGACTGAAACAGTGTGGCAGTGAATCTTGTAATGTGACTGAAACAATGTGGCAGTGAGTCTTGGAATGTGAATGAAACAATGTGGCAGTGAATCTTGTAATGTGACTGAAACAATGTGGCAGTGGAATGTGACTGAAACAATGTGGCAGTGAGTCTTGGAATGTGACTGAAACAATGTGGCAGTGAATCTTGGAATGTGACTGAAACAATGTGGTAGTGAATCTTGTAATGTGACTGAAACAATGTGGCAGTGAGTCTTGGAATGTGACTGAAACAGTGTGGTAGTGAATCTTGTAATGTTGACTGAAATGAAACAATGTGGCAGTGAGTCTTGGGCAGTGAATCTTGGAATGAAAACAGTGTGAATCTTGGAATTTGAGTGGAATGTGAATCTGGAAACAATATGGCAGTGAGTCTTGGAATATAAATGAATACCTTAGACATCCAAAATAATGATTGCCTGGAAAAATGTGTAAAAGTAGAACAGTATAAGAAACTACAGAAAATAAGAAAACAATTTAGTCATGCTGGGGAAAAAAAAGTAAGGCATTGAAAAATGTGTGATAGCTTGAGAATCAACAACACAAGAAGAAAAGAAGGGAAGTAATGCTAGATAGCCTGGGACAGTAGCTTGAGTTGTTTATTTGTCAGACTTCTTTGAGTTGTGTTTTTTTCCTTGACTGAGTTTTTTTTAAAAGACTGCTTGAGTTGTTTATGTGTTGGATTTTTGAGTTTTGTATGTGAATGTAAATTTTAGATGTTTGAGTTATTCTTTTAAATTTATTTGTTTGTGTGTTTGTTTAGATGCTTGAGCTGTATATTTGTTAGATGATTGAGTTGTTTAGTTGTTAGACTGTTTGATCTGCTTATTTAACGACTGTTTGACCTGCTTTTTCAGTTAGCCTGTTTGAGCTATTTATTTATTAGATGCTTGAGTGTTTTTTTTAATTTCCTAAACTGTTTGGGTTGTTTATTTGTTAGATGTTTGAGCTGTTTATTTTTTTAAAGCCTTTTTGAGTTGTTTGTTTATTAGATTAGATGATTGAATTATTTGTTAGACTGGTGACATTTTTTTTGGTTTTTTGTGTGGGTCCAAGCCTTTTGTTGTTGCTGTAAGTATTCTTTGATCATGTTGAGAGAAGATACCATGACGACTGGAATGAACAGTGGTAGAGGAGATAGAAGAAGACATAAGAGATCACCATGACGACTGGAAAGAACAGTGGTAGAGGAGATAGAAGAAGACATAAGAGATCACCATGACGACTGGAAAGAACAGTGGTAGAGGAGATAGAAGAAGACATAAGAGATCACCATGACAACTGGAATGAACAGTGGTAGAGGAGATAGAAGAAGACATAAGAGATCACCATGAAGATTGGAAAGAACAGTGGTAGAGGAGATAGAAGAAGACATAAGAGATCACCATGATGACTGGAAAGAACAGTGGTAGAGGAGATAGAAGAAGACATAAGAGATCACCATGACGACTGGAATGAACAGTGGTAGAGGAGATAGAAGAAGACATAAGAGATCACCATGACGACTGGAAAGAACAGTGGTAGAGGAGATAGAAGAAGACATAAGAGATCACCATGACGACTTGAAAGAACAGTGGTAGAGAAGATAGAAGAAGACTAAGAGAAATGGTTCAGGAGAGTCTAAGGCTGTGGTGCGTAGAAATATCAAAAGAACTGATTCAGAAAACCAAGGACTGAGATCTGAGGAGAGTCCTTTGGATATTTCTCCATTGCTTACAGGCCTTTTCCGGAGTCGCCGTGGTAGAGCGGCTAGACGCATGCCGCGGATCGGAAGGTCGTGGGTTCGCTCCCTGGTGGAGCCAGACTTTTCTTCAAAAATGATCTTGGTTTCCAGGTCGGCCTAGCCTTGAGTGGGTACCGGGTGCAGTCCCGGGTAGTAGAGGCGGCTGGCGTGATGCTGACCACATCACCCATCTTGTGCCGTTGGTCTATAAAATATAGGTCTAGCCCTATATGCCTATACGCCTAAAAGTGTGGAAAAGGGTCCTTTACTTTATACAGACCTTTTCAGAAATAAACTGGCAGATTGGCTTGTTCTGCACCACTTGGTGATGATCTGATTTATGACAAGCTAGATGTTATCAGTGCCCCTTTGGGAGCAAGTGAACAGTGCCAAGGTGCAAATCTATCAGCATGTTCAGAGCCGTGTGGTGCACAGGAAGTGACCAAGGAATCTGGCTGACACTTAGCCGTCAGGAAAGAGGCAGGATAGACCACTATTGGTATCACTGAAACTGGAACTCTGTCTGGGTGTTGAAGATGGGGATAGAGTGCTTATAGGAATGTCTTGAGGGTTATGTTTCTCTTTTTTCAACTCATCTGTGGAATGAAATAATTCATCTGTTTGGGAATCCTACTTGTTTATTCATCAGTTTTACAGTCAGTAAAGTCACTTCCTGCTTTTAACACTTGCCACTTTTTTGTTTCTTTGATTACAAATTATTTGTTGCATATTGTAGGTATGGCTGAAAACAATTGCTCCTGGGCGCGCAAGACACATTTGCATCGGGACACGATGGTTGCTGCAGCAGCGGTTTATCAAGGTAGTAGAAAGAATATACCAGAAGAATTATGGTATTTGAAGCCAGATTTGAGTTAAGCATTTTATATATGGAAGGAAAAAAAAATATTTATCTGCTTAGTGACAGTGAAGTAAAGAAAATGTAAAAAACAATTTGGTGAATTTACTGTCATGGTTACAAAGAAAACAGTCATAACTTGTAGTTTATACAGTTAAAGTTAGTGGAAACAATTTGGTGAATTTACTGTCATCGTTACAAAGAACACAGTCATAACTTGAAGTTTATACAGTTAAAGTTATTGGAAACAATTTGGTGAATTTACTGTCATCGTTACAAAGAACACAGTCATAACTTGTAGTTTATACAGTTAAAGTTAGTGGAAACAATTTTGTGAATTTACTGTCATCCTTACAGAGAACACAGTCATAACTTGTAGTTTATACAGTTAAAGTTAGTGGTTATTCGAGGTTCCCACTTGATGGCAAACAGGAGATATTGATGGCAAACAGGAAACCTTGATGGCAAACAGGAGACATTGATGGCAAACAGGAGACAACCAATCCCCATCCCTCCCCCATAGTTACTCCATTTCTGTTTTCTTCTTCTTTCCTCTACTCCTGGAATGCCTTCCAACAGGGTAGGAAGAAGTCTCTGGAACGGGCCCTTTCTGTTCGCTTCGTATATAGTACTTTTCAGTGCCTCTGATAATTTAAAGGTCCATATTCTGTGTGGTGGACTTCTGGTTCTGTTACTACTCCATTTCTTTACCAGTGGAAATCTCACAAAATGCCTTCACTGTCCAATTTAAAAGTAGTGAAACACAGATTAGTCTCAGCAAAATCTAGAAAGCGCACACATGCAAAGTAAGTGCATAAGGCGACTGCAGATGTGCCAGCAGTAATTCCCTCACGAGAATTGCAGTTTACTGTTAATGAAAGCAGTCTGCCCTGACAACCTGGCATTTGCACATGCAATACTGCATAAAGCACATTCAGTCCAAATATAATTGAACACCCACCCTTTTTAGTGCCATTTTCAACACAAAATCATGATGGTACAGAACAAAAACATATTCCACGTAACATCCGCAGCTCACAGTACAGCACCAGGCTAATATCCCCATGTGTTCCGGATCCCATTGTAGGGGAAGGGAAATAGACCCAGTGCTTTCCTAATAAGCACATCATGAAAGTTGACAAACCTTGGACTTTTCCCTCCAAAGTCGGAGCCCATCTCCCTGAGCAGCGAGGAATCAGCAGTCTGTAAACAATCAAGTAACAGAAAGTGTATTGATCGGCACTCATAGAAAGAAGTGGAAAGATAGAAGAACACACTAGACAACATAAAATTCGAAAGCTATAGTTACAGTGCCGGAAATTGAACCTGTCACCTCCAGATGGCATCTGCGCCTCGCCATGGATACAAGTGCATTAAGAACATGGTCAACTAGGCACCCCCACAACAGTCTGCCAGCCACCTTTTTGAGGGCAAATGAAAAAAACTGCTTCAAGTCGAACTTAGTTGTTTAATTTATTCTGTAATATTTCTTGTACTTTAGTAAACCATGTGTGTTGTTGTCCTTCTTCTTCTTCACATTCACTGGCTTTAAACTTCGGCGGAAAGTTCTGGTTGTTCATCCACTTCTGGACTCTAGTGCTGTTCCCAAAAACTGAGTGTTGCATGCACATCCGTTTCACAGGTTTGACACATTTGCAGGCAGACTGTTGGTTCCTTGCCTCTCGGGCAGATGCACTCATATGATGTACCATGTACAGATGTACCATACATGTATGTATGCCTGTATATGTGTGTGTGCGTGCGTGCGTGTATGCACACACAGGTTTTTGCATGCACTTGACAACTCATGCTTTTGTGTTTTTTTAATAATTTTCATAATATGCATATCATCATATGATCATAACATGCTTTATTAGTAAAATACAACTGCTGTGCGAAAGATGGTTGACTGGAAGGGCCGAATGTAAGACGGGTCTGCGTGCCAAATTTGTGACCCTTTGAAAATAAAGTTTGTTAGTTCGTACTGCGACTTTGAAGGAAGTTCCCATTTAGTCAGCTCTTACAACATGCTTGTTGGGCAGAATGTGGGTCTGTCTATTCTTGTTTTCCCCACAACGGGGCCCTGGAAACCACACAGGTTTGTTGTTGGCCTGATTAGATACAATGTAAGTATTTTTACGATTGTATTCCTAGAGATGTTTGGCAATGAGAAAGGAGTCCCAGCCACGTACCAGGTGATCAATTTCATTGGTTGGAAGCCAGACCCTAGCCAGGTAAATGGTCTTGAGGTTTTTAGCAATGTGATTTCCAATGGTCAGGGGTTGTCTGTTCACAAACCAATCATTTGAACTTTACCTAAAAAACAAATGCCTAAAGCATTTAGAAGATACAGCTATACTGTAATTTAGCACCTAAGAGGTTAGTATGCATGCATTCATCTGTATTAGCGTTACTTCCTTTAAAAAAAAAAATTCATTAAGGGGGGGGGGGGGGGGGGGGGGGGTCGAGGTCTCGAGGCATGGTGTCCGCCTCGAGTGCTAGAGATTCCTGGTTCAATCCCCGGTAAGGGCTGGGATTTTTTTTTTCATGCGGACTTCTAGTAATTTCCCCTGGTCTCTGGGTAGTGAAATCGGATGCCCGTGTGCATTGGTGCTCAAAATAGTAACCTAAGGACACTGCCTGGGCTAAATCTGGAGTTGAAAATCTTCCCAAAGTATTTCAGGATCCTCGCCGGTGCTACAGAGCCTGTGCACTGTGCTGAGCTTCTTGGACTCAGTCTTGAGTTAGAAGAAGAACGGAGCACTTATGGGTTACTACGCGTATGCCAGCTTATTCTATAGCTGAGAATTGAACAGATATGAGTCCCAAAAACTCCTTTCAGGCACATAACACAGTAAGATTGAGGCACTCTACTGTTTACGAAGTAATCAGCGGTCCTTCATGAGTAGATGTATGTCACCAAGACCAAACAAATCCATAGGTTGGGACCACAAAGAGTTGTCTGTGGGTGTTGCCAGGCAACAGTGAGCTATGTAAATTTTTTTTAAAGGGGGGGGGGGGGGGGGGGGGGGATGTGTCATTATCTTCTAAACAGAGATTTAATATTACTTTGAATTATGTTATACTGAAAAATCTATTTTCTGTGTGCTTCCATTTGGTTGTTGGCAATTTTCCGTCTTTTTAGACAATAGGGTTATATTGTGCTATGAGGAGGCAACAGACTCACAGCGCTTGGCGATACTGAGTGTGACTAGCGAAACCTGCCCTGCGTTTAAAAAAGTCTTATAGAATTATAGCATGAGATTTCAGGACCGTTGTTGCTATCATTTGTATTTAGTATGTTTCTTCTCAGACGCTCATCTCTTAATATTTCTGCAATCACTTCTTCCTTCATTCTCATTCCATCCTGATTTGCCCCCAACACGCAAGACATTGCATTGCATTTTATTCTAATGAATCAACCTCAGTACCTGTATTATTCATGTCCTACTTGCACACATCTTTATATCGTATCAGAGGTCAGCCTTAACATTTTCTACTTATCTGTAATTCATCATTGAGGATATCCGTAGAGACCATTCTCCTGTTATGACCTTACCACAATATCCTTCAGAGACTGAGCATTGAGAGGACTGTTGTAATACCTACTCTTTCCAGTACCTAAGTGTTTGTGATCTTGCCTTGCCATTTGATGCCAAGTATTCTTCTTAGGCATCGCTTGTGAAAGCTATTTAGTCGTTTCTCACAGTTCGAATGAGCTGACCAAGTTTCACTGCGATAAAGAAGAGTGCTGAGAGCACAAACCTAATGGACAAGATTTGTTGTTTTAATCACGAGCTTTTTGCAGTCCCAAATTGTTTTTTATTAATATGCTCACTACTGTTGCTGCCTTGTATCATTTACCCCATTTAAAAGCCCATTTTAAATGTATTGGGTCGTGTGTCAGTTTTGTCTCTATCAAAAAAGGGTCACAACTTGAAAAAAATTTCGGAAGCCATTGCTGTAGACAGATTCCTTAATCTACCTGTGAGTAACAGTTTTGCCAGTGGCCAACTATTTTCAGTTTTTACCCGCTGCTGTATGATTAATATTCACATCTGACACACAGGATGGGGGAGGGAGCTGTGTGGTCTCGGAGCATGGTGTCCGCCTCAAGTGCTGGAGGTCCCATGTTCAAGCCCAGGTGAAGGCTGGAATTTTTCACGTGGACTTCTAGTAATTTCCCCTGGTCTCTGGGTAATAAGATCGGACACCCATGTGTATTGTTGCGGAGGCAAAAAAATCCCTTAGCAGTTGGAAATCGAAAAGAGTAGCTTAAACGCGCTGCCTGGGCACAATTTTAAGTTTAAAAATCTACCCAAAATATGTCAGGATTCTCGTCGGTGCTATGGAGTTTGTGCACTGTGCTGAGATTCTCTGGACTCAGACTTGACTCAGAAGTAGAACGGAGCACTTATGGTTTACTACCCTTGTGCCATGATGTTGATCCAGTCAACTAAACCTAAACACAGGACCACTTGTTTTACCCCACTGTCTGAGAAAGTTAAGTATCCTGGCGCACTATAATTATCATCATCATCATGTAGCAGGTCCTTTGCAGAACGTCACTCTCGTCACGGTCTGCCTGAAAGAAACTCAGTCTCTCACCAGCTCTTCCGCCTCATGTACTTTCACACTGAAGGAGTCGCTTATACCCTGTGCCAATCTTTGTGTTGGTTGGCCTCTGTCCCTCCTTCCTGGTACCATGCCTTCTGCTATAATTCTTTCCAATCCGTCGTGGATCTTGGTATGACCAAAATATTTCAGCTTCCGAGACAGGATGCTGTTTATTAGCCAGTCTTCCTTGATGTTAAGATATTTCAAGATGTCAGTATTTCTCCTCTTCTTTGTCCAATATATTCTGAGAATCTTTCTATACACTACAATTACACGCCATTATTATTTTAATATGTTACTACTTCTCTAGTAATCTTTTAAAAATGTAAAGCATTTTTCATTTAAATTTGATTTTTGTGTGTGTGTGTGTGTATGTAAACAGCCCAAAGCAGCTAAACGAGGTTCAGGACAGGTTTCTCTGAAGGACATCGATAAAGTGAGTGTAATGTTATGCTTCATCACCTGTGTCTGGTATTGTTCTGTGTTGATCTTAATTTCTGAAGGAGACAAATTTCTTTAACAGATGTTTGTTAAATTTGTTCACATTTATCAAATCTGTTCATATGACATTGTTAGATGTATTCACATGATCTGTTCAACTTGTTCATATTTATCACATCTGTTCATATGACATAGTCAGATTTATTCACATGTTTGATATCTGTTAAACTTGTTCATATTTATCAGATCTGTTCAAATGACTTAGTCAGATTTATTCACATGATTGCTATCTGTTAAATTTGTTAATTTTTATCAAATCTGTTCATATGACATTGTCAGATTGGTTCACATGATCCTGTTAAATGTATTCATATGTATCAGATCTGTTCATGACATCATAAAATTTGTTCAAATAATTTATGCCACAGATTGATCTACTTACAAAGAAAGTCAAAGAGTTGCATGATAGCAAAGGGGACATAACTACACCAGATGGTGAACACCAGCAATCAGAGTTATCCCAGCATAGACGAAAACAAGAACCCGAAGAAGACAACAGTGGACAAAACAAAAAATGATGATATCACATTTTTTTTTAAAAAAAGGTTTGGGCGAAAAATCATAAGTGAAAATAAATTTTTAAATGAAATTGTTCTTTCGTTTGACTTTTTATGTCACAACAGTGTTTACCTCTAGTGAATTAAAACAGTGAGGATACAAACATTGTTTTGCATGGTAAGAAAAGACTGTTTTTTGTGTATTCTTCTTCGGTAGTAGCCCTTGAAAGGGTAGTGCTTAGTAATGCGGTTTACAGCTTAGCTGCAATAGATGCGCTTTTTAGCTTAACACATCTGATTCCAGACGCTTTTAAAAACCATACTGGAGGAAAGGTCGAAGACAAGAAAGCAGGAGGTGGGCAACGATGCAAGTGGGAGGACAACATCAGGATATGGATGGGCAGCAGTCTTATAGAGAGTGTACAACCAGGACAAGAGACAGAGAGTGTTGGAGATCCATTGCAGCCAACCTTCATTGTGGAGACGGCACCTGATTGATTGAGTGATCTGATTTCAGCCGACTAAAATAGTCGTCATTTAAAGAATGATTTTTGGATAAGGGAGGGGGTGGAGCTCCCCACCCCCCCCCCACCCACACATATAAAATAGGGTCCTGAGATTTGTGTGTCATTTAGAAAGATTCATCTGAAGTAAAAGTAAAGGACCATTTTCTATGCCTTCAGGCGTATTGGGCATATAGGGCTAGATCTATATTTTATTGACCAATTGGAACTTGGTGGGTGATGTGTTTAGCATGAACTCTGGCCACCTTTATTTCTCAGGATTTGTACCTGGTACCTGCTCAAGGCTGGGTTAACCTGGAAGCCAAGCTAATTTAAAAAAAAAAAGAAAGAAAAAGATCAAGACACGAACCCGTGACCTTCTGATCCAGACGTCTAACTGTGGCTCCTTGGATTCATTTTTGTGCTTCATTATTTGTTGATGGAAATTATTGCCGATCTTGTTATATGGCCAGACCGTTTGATCCGATGTCTACCAATAAAGTTCATGGAAATTCTCAAAAGCCTGCTCGCATGAGAGTTCCTTCCCTTCCCATTCATGCCGCGGTGGGTTGCATGGCCTGTCCTATGTTGTGAGGTTGTTATGAGATGGCTTCATTCGCTGTATATGTTTGTAGGGGGTTGCATTGTCATGGGTCTCTTTAAGGTGCTGCAGCCCTCTGTGTACAAGTAAGAAGTAATGCATGGGAAAAGCGCTGAAGGTGTGACTGTTCATGAATATCCAAACTGGGATGTTTTTGTATTTGAAATTATTTAGAAAGTTTGAATAAGACCATGTCTGGATTATATTAACAAAAAATGAAATTGTTCAGCTGTCTAGTGAGAATGCAGCCAGACTGGACTTGCATATGAGACTTTTTACAGCAGAACGTCTATGAGGAAGACCAAGAATATAGATGGATAGATGGTGTAGTTAAAACCTGCAAAAAAGATTAAAAAATCCACCAAGCGACCCAAGAAATTAAGACAAATACAGAAAACCATATGACTGGGTTACAACCTGGTGTCAGTGAGACGACACAAGAAGAAGAGGAAGAAGAAGATAAACCGACACAGCAAGAATTTTACACAAACGTTGACTAATATTATTAATTATAGAAACTGTTTTGGCTTATGGATCAGAAGATAGTGTGCTGATATTTAGTCACGGTTAGTGTGAGAAATCCTCAACTCTGGGCCAGATTTCGGTGACAGATGTGGCTATCTCCAGATAAACTGTTGTCAAGGATATTTGCATTCTTTAACAGAAAGCAGAGCAATATATTCATGACCTCTAAGAGGTTTTGTTGCCAGACTGTCTGCGTAAGCTGTACTGTGTCTAATGTGCCCTCCTTGTTATGGTATGCTGAGGTGAAGAAATGCCTGGCATTGTGGTCATGTGATCTTGTTTTACAAATTACGAGTATGTTGCCAGGAAGTCCAATTTTAAACAATATCATTTATTTTGGGGTCAAGGTTTTTAAAAAAAGCTAGAAGTTGAGTGCTTGGTGCAACACTGTGAGCTGTAGATTTACGACATAAAAAGGGTGTGTCTCTACAAGGAATTACGCAATTCCTGTCTTGTGTGAGTGGATGGGTGTGGGTGGATATTACAACCCCACCCTGGCTGGACTTCAGATTGCCTCGTAACCATCGGCGGGCCCTAATATAGCCTCACGGTTAAATGGGGTTTCCGGGACTTGTGCCAGGGGAATTCTAATTCGAACAGTGGCCATTTTGTGGTACTGGGTGGTTCAACACCACTCACTTTTGAGGATGTTGCACCGTTCTCTTCAGACCATGATAATCTAAGTGTGCTCTCTCCCACTGACTCCTAAAGGGCCTTAACAACATCCAGCTTGTCATGCACCAGTTTACAACTGAGTGGTGCAGAACCAGCCTGTTCCTGTAGAAAATATTCAAACAATGCTAACTACCCTTATCATGTACACTCGACTGAAATCTATTGTATTAGATTACCCCTTTAGGGGGCTGAGTAGTCTCAAGGTACGGTGTCCGCCTCGAGTGCTGAAAGTCCCTGGTTCAAGCCCCGGTGAAGGCTGGTTTTTTTCTCACCTGGACTTCTAGTAATTTTCCCCAGTCTGTGGGAAGTAAGATTGAACGCCCGTGTGTATTGTTGCGCACATAAAAAAATCCATTGGCAGTAGGAAATTTTAAATAAAAAAAGTAGCCTGTTGGTGTTGCCCGGGCAAATTTGGAGTTTAAAAATCTACCTAAAGTATTTCAGGGTCCTCGCCGGTGCAACGGAGTTCCTGCACTGCGCTCAGGGTCTTCAGATTCAGGCTTGAGTTAGAAGTAGAATGGAGCACTTATGTTACACCCTTGTGCCAGGATGTTGATCCGTCTAACAAACAAACAAACAATATACCCATTAAAAAAAGTGTTACCTCTCCAGAGACGCAGTGCAAGTCCCGAAAACGGGAAAACCCGGGTTAACCGTATGACATAGTTATGTTAAGGCACAAGGAAACGGTTACGAAGAGACCTGTAGTCCAGTTTGGGTGGGTTTTAATATACTCATTTTTCATCCTGCCTGTGCAAGTTATAAATCCATAGTTCATCGGTTCTTTTCAGGGTATACAAGCATTGTTTATCTTGTCTGTGCAAAATTATATTTTATGTGTTAACACTGTTATATAGGCTTTGAAGTCTTTCCTTTCTGTCAGCTTTTTATACTTAAATTGCTTTGGTAGTTTTATCCTTATCTTTAATATTTGGCATTTGTATTTATTGTGTTCCACACTTTTTTCTGTATCTTATTATCTTATGTTACACTGTTCCAAATTTAGCTAAACTGTTTTCCTTATTCGCCCCACCCTGTCTGAACTTCTGGTTACTTTGTAACCATAAGGCTGCCAACAGGATTTTTTTATCAAATCCTAAGCTAAGCTGGCCAAAAAAAAAAAAAAAAAAAACAGCAGTACAGAAGCAAAACAAACAATAAACAAAACCCCAAGATTGTTTAAAGAGTACAAACTTTATAGTTAAGAAACGAAACATTTACCCACTTTTATATAAGGATATATTCTGTAAAAAACCCAAGATTCCAAAATATGAACTCAAGGCGACAAATAAAAACCCAGATCTGGGGGTACAAACCCATCACTGGCAGCCTTGCTAAAAGCGGCTCTAATATAATCCTCCGGTTGAATGGGGTTTCTGGGATTTGTAAAAGTGAAAAAAAAAAGTAAGACTGGGCTACCAATGCTGCCCCCCCCCCCCCCCCCCCCACATATGCCAAAATATGCCAGTTCATTATATTATGCCAGTTCAATTTCAAATATGCCAAATTTGCGGAATCTGGCACCAAAAATGCCAATATGGCAACTCTGCTTCTGACTATGGTTCATATATATGGCGTGTTGTTTGAGAAAAACTGGTTTATATACTCCAATTACGTCCTTTTTAGGAAGTAATTTTTTGTTATTTGAAGCCCCACTCTGGCTTTTGCCAGGGGCCGCAATATAGACAGGCCATCAATATGGCCAATTGTCTGAACGCGGTTTCTGGGACCTCTCCATGGTGATCCTCATCCGCATGGTGGCACTTTGTGTCATCGGGTGTTTATCGCTTGTGTGATGTCCTAGTGGGGTAGAAAGTCAGTCAGTCAGAAAAACTGGGACTAACGTCATTATTGGACCCAAATACAACATATCAAGGCAAAACTTTTGGCCAAGAGATACATCGATGCAAGTCAAACTTTACGGGTCTCTGAGTGAATTACAAAAGACAGTGAAGTTCACACTAGAGACAACATTGCAAATATAAATAATCTATTTCAAGCGAACAAACGAAGAAGAAGAAGAATTTAGACCATCAATCTTTGCCAGTAAATAAAAACTCAGAGACACACAAAAAACTCCATCTAATTGTTACGTCCTCACTGAGTTAAATGCTTCCTGGCAATTTCAGTGTGCCGAAACAAATC